AGTAGTAGTAGTAGTAGTAGTAGTAGTAGTAGTAGTAGTAGTAGTAGCAGCAGCAGCAGCATTTGGAACACTACGGGTTCTTCTGTCCTGTTGACTATGCCAATCAAATAGCCCCTTGTTCCACACTACCCTATTCTGTCACCACCCACTTTTCTGTAGTTGTCCCCTTTTCTGTCAAGCTGCCAACCCATTCCAACTTCATTGGATTGTTTTAAGCCTCTTCCCTCTAGGTTTCCCAATATTTACTCACCGGCTTTTTTTTTTCCAGCTGGCCTCTTCTAGGTGCATTGGGAGTGTTAATTCCATGGCTTCCAGCAAATTGGGCTGATGCCAGCTCGTAGGAGGTGAGCTAATAGCCGTGCTTTCTGGAATTGGCTGCCTGAGGTTGAGTCTGAACATTTTTATCTGACACTTCTGAAAGCCATCGGGGGGGCAAAGTTACTTTGTTGTTGCTGTTGTTTTTAATGGTGTGGAAAAAAAAAATCTGTTCCGCGCTCCGTTTTAATTATAGCCTTTCTCTGCTGATCTCTGCACATCTGCGGGGAAGGAAAATTCTTTGAGATTTTCATGTCGGCTGGGACGGAGGAGGAAATAAAAGAGGGAGATTGAACCCTTTTGATAGCTCAGAGTCTCAAAGAAACTGCCATCTATCCTAACAGGCGCTGTGGCTACCATCTTTAAAACACACAAACACACACACACACACACAAAGCATTTAATTTCACTTCTGCTCTTCCTGAAGGCTTCCGGGACGGCTGTCTACCTGATTCGGAATTAACATTTTTAAGGAGGCAGCCTAAAAGCCAACTTAGAAGGCTTTGTAACATGCAAATCCTTTCTGAGTAAGAGCCCTGCCTAGATCTCTCCCCCCGCCTGCCCCCCCGCCGCCTAATTTTAATAATTCCAGAGCTATTTCTTCCACAGCGTGCGTCAATTTTATTTCTTTCAAGGATTTCCCTTACCTTCTGCGGAAATTAAGTATGGGGTTCAGCATCTCCCCTTTGGCATCTTAAGTAGACGCCTATAAAAATCAATGTGCAATAGTCAAAGTGACACGCACAGAGTCTCTTTAAGGGAGCAGTAAGCCCAGCGCCTTTCCCTCTCCAGATTTAGTAAATTAATTTTTCTTAGACGTTAAATCATATGATGAAGAGCTAATGGAACTAGGTACGCGTAGCCTAACGGAAAGAAGGCTTAGGGGAGACACGATGGCAGTTTTCTAGCCCTGGAAGGCCTGTCAACAGGGAGGACGGAGAAAGACTTATTCTCCGTAGTACTTGAAAGCGGGGGAAAAAGCAATAGGTAGAAGCTTGTCAAAGGCAGATCAAATATGGAAATACGGAGGAATTTCTTGATAGTGAGAACAATAAGTGTAACAGCTTGCCTCCCAGATAGAGTGCTCCATCATTGGAGATTTTCAAGAAAAGATTGGACAGTCGTGTGTCCAGGATGGTATTAGGACGCCTGTTTTGGGCAGTGGGTTGGACTAGAATGCCTTCAAGGTCCCTTCCAGCCCCTATGATAGCAATAGCAATAGCAATAGCGCTTGGACTTACCTATCGCTTCACAAGAGAGATGTGGTGGCTCAGGGGCTAAGACGCTGAGCTTGTCGATCAGGAAGGTCGGCAGTTTGGCCGTTCGAATCCCTAGCCCTGCGTAGGAGTGAGCTCCCGTTACTTGTCCCAGCTTCTGCCAAGAAGCCAGCAGTTCA